CCCGCTCTCCCGCCCCCAGGCCAATTAAGGCCTGGGGGCGGGGGAGTGTGCAAAGCCTTCTCCACTCTACCCCTGCCCTGTGAGCAGCGCATGGATCTTTGAAGCACCACACACTGCTCGCAGGGCGGGGGCAGAGTGGTGAAGGCTTTGGGCACTCCTCCGCCCCCAGGCCTTACCCCTGTCCTAACTGATAAGAGTTAGAACCACCAAATACGGTATGCAGCTTCCTCTTATCATAACTTAAAGGAAGGGCAGGATTTGGTTGTGCCAGGACAATGGGATATGCATGGAATGTGATTGTTTTTTCATAAAATGGAAAGGGAGGGGTCTGGTGAGAGGGGCATTTATACTGCAGAATGACCACAGGAAGGCAGCAAAGGACCAGAGATGGGATCGGGACAGCTATAACCCCATTGGGCTAGTAGGGGACAGCCATGGAGAAAAGGACAGCTATTTACTATATATTTCAGAGAGCTTGTCTGTTTTTGTGTGTCTGTTCCCCAGCTGGGGATATGCACCCTTCCCCCAGCTGTGCCCACTGCAGCTGAAGCAGCCATGGACAGGTGCTTCTCAGCTGGCTCCAAGCTGCTGCAGTGAGAGAGGGTTGGCGTTGTTCTCTCCTCCGGCAGCCTGCGTACTGAACCCTTCATCCCCAGCTTTACCCCAGAGCAATGATTTAAATGAAGAAAAACAAAACTTATTTGAGTTAAGGACTCAACAATGCCAGGTAAATAATGTAGTTATAGCTAATAAAAGGGAAGTTAATAGTCATGAATATAAACCAGAAATTAAGAATAGAAAATTGATAGGGGAAAGCCAGAGGATACAAGGCAAAATCTATGCCCAGCAAAGTTAAGAACAATAAGAAGTTTAAAAAATTTTTTAGAAACAAAAAGAATTCTGACAATGGTTTTGGGTCAGTACTAGAAGGAAATGGCAGAATTATCAATAATAATGCAGGAAAGACAGAAGACTTCAATAAATATTTCCCCAAGTACGTAATCAAATGTCACAAAGTGCAGGGAATCTACGCTTTGATCACGCTGGCACAAATTAGCTCCCTCAGAGAAGCCTGGTTGGGGAATGAAGCTAATCAAGACAGTAGGCTGGTGAATTAAAACATTAATTAGCCATCAGATATGAGGTGATAAAAGGGCACAGAAAGGCAATGCAAAGGAGAGGGATAGGGCCAACCAAGGCCAGTCAGACAGCTCTTCAGAAAGGGAGATCCCTGCCCTTCTCCTCTTCTTCGGTTCTGTGGAAAGATCTGAGGCAACAAGACCATTGTACTTAGTATTGCTGCACAAAGCGGTAAAGGTATTGGTGGAGGGAACCTAAGTAAGCAGCACAGTGTGGAGATCCAATTGATGATGTCTGAGCAAGCTTCTGTGGTGCAAGAAGTCAGGAGTGGACTGGAAAAACAGATGATCTTGTCTCATCATAGGATAATCATAGTTTTATGTAAATGTTCTCATGTAGATAAACAAGACCTTTTTTGATACTATTAAGGTCTTGGCAAAGCAGTGTTTTGTTTCCAGTTTATCATTTTGATATGGGTTCCCTTTCAATTTAGTTAACTGTGGAACTTCCAGCTTGAGTTCTCTAGGCCAGTCGTTAGTATGTGTACCTCTCTCGCTTGTCTCCTCTCTGAACAGTCCCATTCTCTGCTGTTTGGATGAGGCAGGAGAGCATATTGTAGTCTTGAATTCATCGTGGTGTCACTGCCCTGTTCTGTTAGGTTTGGCATTAGAGTGTTTTTTTAAATATAGATTTTCTTTTTATAGGGTTAAATATTCTTGCTTAAGAGCTTGGCTGGCTATAGCTCAGAGTCAGCAATCCAGACCTCAAGCAGCTGAGCAGCAAAAGGCTGGAGAGTGAGGCTGACTGCTGGGTTGTTCAGACAGCCCCTTTGTCTGGCATGCTGTGGCAGAGAAGAGGAGATAGATGCTGATTTGGTTTGAGGTGTGACAGGAGGAGAAGCTCAGACATCACGGAGCTGGTACATTTTAATTAAATTGATCCGGAACTCCAGCTCACACTCCAGGAATGAGAGTTACTCAGAACATGGAACTGGAATATATGGAGAGGGCCCCAGTAAATTAGCTCAGATGCAAAATGAAAATCTTTTATATGGAATATTTTGTAAAGTAAATGACAGCTGTACCTTGTCTTCCTCATAGCTTGAGTCAAAGATTGAGTGCCAACTCCAATTCTGAATTTTGTATTATTGACTTAGCTCATGCCCTATTGCCATCTGCCCAGCCATCCAATCCAATACAATGTGCAAGAAATCTGCCTGAAAAGACAGCTCTTGCTCCCCTGCTTACTGGCAGTTAGAAATAAATACTCCCATTGTGATGTGATTTGATAGGCAGCCTTGACAATGGATTCCAAGCATCATAAGCATACGATCTGTCAGCAAATGCAAACATCTATCCATCACACATCCTCCATCTGTTATATCCAGGAGACAGAGCCAACAAGGCATGCAAAAGAGGAACAGAAACCGGAGAATATATACTTGGTGCTTGGTTTTGATGCACATGTTTTCTAGGGAATGGTTGGACTGTGATTTTTGTCAAAGAGATGGGGCATGAACCATGTTCTTAAGTGTGAACATCCCTGAATTTAGAAGGGCTGAAGTCTTAGTACATATCCATATCTAATTGGTACATGTCCATATTTTAATTTCCCATATCTATAATGAATCGAAGCAAATACCACTCCATTTTTGGGGATGCATTTGATAAGAGTGTGGCTTTTACACTGTGGATCCATTCCTTCTCATAAACTAAGACTAGTCAGGTGTGGTTTAATATTTGGATAGAAAAATGAGGGCATGGGATGATAACTCAGTTGCCAAATTTTCAAAGAGTTGATTGCTCAGGCATTTGTGGGTACTTTTGCTTTCGCCTTAGGCACACACACCCTCAAATGCATGTGCATACTGGCAGTCTGTGTACGTCAGACAGGCATATTCAGAAGTGCAGGTTCACTGCTTTGAAAATTTGGAACATAAGGCCTCATTCATCCTTCTTGCATGGTGCTGGGGGACACTGTGGTGCTTAAGGTGCCATCTTTCAGCTGGGATGTCAAATCATGGTTCTGATCACTTGTGACCTTAAAGAATTCATAAAACTTTCCTTAAGAGTGGAGTGCAGGTCCTAGCCCTGGTAACCTCACCAAATTCCAGTTTGAGTAATTATGGTCTCCCTAAGTTTCCCCTTTATTGTCAATAGGATACAATGCTCCCTTTTACTTCTGTTTCCCAGCCTTCAAGGCCGTATGGGTTAGGAGCAGGCCTGTCGACGGGAGTGGATGGCAAAGAGGGGGAAACTGCCCTAGGGCCCGGCAATACAAAAGGGTCCAAAGCTCCTGGCTGTTGCTATACGGGGTCCTTTAAATTGCTAGCAGAGCACTGCGCACTGTGCTGTGGGCAGCATGGAGGACTGCCTAGCCCTAGCTCTGCCCCTTCTGCCCAAGTCCCCTCCTCTTCTGGGTGTGGAAAGCAGGGCCTCCCTCTGTCCTGCCTAGTGGCCTAGCGAAGCTGTCAGCCCTGCTGGTTGGGAGTTGACGTTAACACTCTCTTCTTGATTGACTGACTGATTTTGATGGATGCACAATTGATCTCTTCAGGCTAGATTTTGCTACCCTTGATCCCTTTGAGATGTGCCTATAGGTGCAGAAGAATGGCTGAATCTGGTCCCCAGTGGAAGGCCTCGCATAGCTAGAGTCAGTGCTGTTTGTCTCTAGCTGGCTTCCTGTGTTCCTTCCCTTCTCTGATAAACTAAAGGGGTTTGGGTGTTCCCTTTACTCCACCAGCCAGTAAAACAATAGTTTTCAACATTTATATTTACCATATATTTCCTCCTACCCCCCCCCGCCCAGCCTGCCACCTCACAAACACACAGAATTCCAAACAGTGTCTCGCATTTGTTTTGGGAATCTCTTTGATCATTGACAGGCTGAAATTGAGATGGAAACACATAGACATTAGCAGCTCATTCCTTCTTAGCTTATTTTTGGCCACATAAGAGGAGAGACATGAACAAAAGGAGATGAAATCAGAACTTTATTAGGACAAAGTAGGCATGGTTGTTTAAAATCTCTTGTTCAGAAGAGCATACATCTTTTCCTGATTAAAAATACATGTACATAAGTCACCTACAAACTAATATGTTTTCCTCCTGGTGCATGGGCTGGGAAGTGCACCAAATCATGTATTGTACTGGACTCAAGGAGTGACAATCTTTGTCAACATCAGATATCACAGGATCAGTCCTTTCTTAAATCACTCCAAGCCTTTATCCACACAATTCAACCATTTATAAGCACCTGCACATGTCCAAAAGGATAGGGTAAATGAGAGGGAGTGGGTTGGACTAGGCTAGTTTATCTTCCAAAGACAGAAAGATACATTTAATCCCCTTGCTTCAGTTCTGCAATGACCAGATGAATGGGGGTCAAACTTGGGTTTGGGAACTAGAAACCATCCTAAGTGCTACTTGAACATCCTTGCTTTGGGATCCTTGTTTATCTCATTACCCAGCGTTGCCATAAGATGGTGGCTCAGGGTGGCTTGCATGGTGGAAAGAGTTGAGTTCATTGATTTTTTAACAAATAGTTGCCTGTCATAAGAACTGGCAGACTCAGCAAAGTGACCAAGGGCTGATTGAGTCATGGCGGCTAGACAGTATTCTCAGTCCAAGAGGACCCTTCAGAATAAGGTTGAGCTTCATTGGAAGGGCAGGGTGGAGGAAGCTTGTACAACCAGTACCTGTGTGGTACCTCAAGTGTGGATGAACAGAGAGAGAACTTCACTCTCCAGAGCTGTCAGTCTAGCACCATTTCAGTAGAACTAAATGTGCTTAAAACATTTGCTAAAGAGAAAAAAAAATCATGTCTTTCCACAACATAGTCCCTCCTTTTTACCAGTGACATATTTGCTTCCAAGGGAAAATCTATTTATTTTGTTTAAGTGGACTTTCCTCTTGAAACTAGTATAAGTATCTTGTGAAAATTCCTTCAGTGGGTAGTTTGGGTAATATCTCAGGGATGCCAGGCTCTCTCTGCTGGCTTGACCCTGCGATGAAGTTATTTCCATAGTTGGATACTGAGGGACAGGTCTACATGTGAATAACACTTAGCTGGAGTTTATGTACCTTAGGTCTACTACCTGCAGTGTCTATATGGTGCTTGGTTGATTGTAGAAACTTTTCCATCAACTTACTTTAAGCTTCCCATTCCAAGGGAATACTGGAATTGCCAGGACTGTGTTCGGCAATTGATTTAGTGGGTCTTCACTAGACCTGCTAAATCGACCCCTGGCAGATCAGTCACCACAGTGTAGATCCACCATACTGGAGACACAGCCTAAGGCATTTTATTTTGTGAGGAAAACAGATAATTCTTAACTACATCAGATCTTCAAGGGACTACATACATAGTGTCAAAAATTCAAGTAGACTTCATTGCACATTTACTTGGTATAGGCAAGGCAAGGTGGTATAATGTGTCTGGGCACAGGCAGAGAAAAGGAAAGAGAGCAAGCCAAATATAAAGCATTTTGTTCAAAAACCTAGTGTTCTATTACTGCTTTTCTCAGAAAAGGTGTAACTTGATGTGCTTGCAAAGTGGATGTAGCTCCATGTTAAAGCAATTCCAAAGTAACGGCAAGGCGGGCAATGTGTAGCTTAGTGAACTCAATATTAAGCTCAGGGCCAGCCTCACTTTTACAGGAGAGATACAAACTCTGGAGACTTCAGGTCCTGCTCACCAGCATTCCATCTCTGAATAGCAAGTAAAGGCAGGTTCTGTAGTCCCTGTAAGTGGTGCCTCTCCATTAAATATGAGGCTGGTTACCATCTGCTGCATTTTCTGCAAATTAAGTGCTGTGTTCAGGCTCCTGGCAAGTTGGGAAAGCTTGCCCCTCGCTGTGCTAAGGCTTGAGAAGTGCTGTCTGGAGCATGGCAGTGCCGTTCACTAAAAAGGAGCAGAGGGTCATCAGAGAGCAGAATGGCAGGAGGAGTTCAAGGCCACGCTGCAGACATTTTGCTTAGTATTGAGGTCTTTCCCTTCCTCTTTGCCCCACCCGGCAACAAGTCACACAGACAGGTCATCTGACCTCGCCTTACTGCTGGCATGGCTGGTCTTGCTGAGCCTGCGTTTCTCATTGAAATAGCCATTGGAGACCTGGTGGGGGGCAGAGTCATTGGGTGCCTCAGGACTCTGTGCATAGTTGATCTGGATAAATTGGCCTTCTCCAGCTGCATCCTCTTGGCTGTGGACCCTCTCAGTGGCAAAGTTGGCCGTGTTCTGCTGAGAGGCCATCTTATTGCTGAAAGGGCTGATGAATTTCCCATTGGGATTGACCAAACATTGATTAAAATCTGGAGGGGGAGTGCAACTTTGAGCCATCTCTACTTGGGTTGCAGGCGCCAATTTGCTAGTCACCATTGTGGGGCTGGGTTTGTAAGATTTAGCACATTTCTCCTTCGCTTTTTTCCACCCCAGGTGGTACAGTTCGGCCAGGCTCAAGAAGAGTGACAACGCTGCCACGGACAGCATGAAGATGATGAAGACATTCTTCTCTGTGGGCCGCGAGACGTAGCAGTTCACGGGGTGAGGACAGGGTTCCCGGTGACAGATGTACAGGGTTTTCAGGAAGATTCCATAGAGGATGTATTGTCCGACGATGAAGGTCACTTCCATAGCAACGCGAATCAAAATGCTGTAGACATAGGTGTTCAGCAAGCTACCCTGGAGTATTATTTTCCCATTTGATTCCTCCCGACTGGAGAACTCTGCCTTCTCTGCTGCAGGATACTCCTGTTGGTGGTAAGAGTCACCGCTACTTCTAATCCCCTTTGCCCTCATTTCTGCCTCCTTTATTTTTCTCTTTTCCTCTATGCGCACCGTGTGCATTGCATGCCCCATGTACACCAGGGAAGGGGTAGAGACGAAAATGACCTGAAGGACCCAGTACCTAATATGAGATATGGGGAAAGCCTTATCATAACAAACATTCTCGCAGCCAGGCTGCCGGGTGTCACACATGAAGTCAGATTGCTCATCTCCCCATGAGGACTCCGCTGCTGTGCCCAGTACCAGCATCCGGAAGACGAAAAGCACAGTTAGCCAGACTTTCCCCACCACAGTGGAATGCTTGTGGACTTCTTCAAGGAATTCGCCCAAGAAGCTCCAGTTATCCATCTCTGCTCAGTGGGACCACAGCCTCTGTGGAAAAAGGACAGAGAGAAAGAGAGAGGTTCTGAGTCAGGTGAGAGGAACTCATGTCCTAAAATCAGAAAATGCTGCATGTGAAAGGCTCGGAAGCTTAGTAAGGAATCTTCTGCGAGGCTGTGTACTGTTACACCCTTCTGAAAGAAACGCCCCTCTGCCCCCATTTCAATGCATTGTAGCCATGTGGGTTCAGCATCTGCCTTTCAGTGTCACTGCTGGAGACAAGATGCCAGCTTAGATTGTTCATTCATCTGTTCTGTTCTGCAGTAGCTTCTATAATGTGCACATTAGTATTAAGATTACAGAGTGTTAACTGGGCTGCTAAACTATCTAGGCTGTACCAGACTTTATTCTTGGTTCAGGAAATATTTGCACTGTGGACTGAGCTTAAATTTATTCTCTATGGCACCTGCATCTCTAAGGTGGTTCTCCTTCTGCTCTATGAATAGCAGAACTATTCGCCTGTGACTCCCCAAATGTACTGATACTTGGGTGAGATTTGAATCCAAAGCTAGGACTGAGCAGTATCCTTGCACTTCCTCTTGCATATGCTGGCCTCTGCTCTAGTCTATTTAGCCTGATTTGACTTCAGCTGGAATACTGTGTCCAGTTCTGGGCACCACATTTTGGAAAGAAGTGGACAAGTTGGAGAAAGTTCAGGGAAGATCACCAAAATGATGAAAAGTCTAGAAATCATGACCGATGAGAGAAGATTGAAAAACCTGGCTGTGTTTACTCTGGAAAAGAAAAGACTGAGAGGGGACGTGATAACAGTTTTCAAGTACATAAAAGATTGCTACTAGAAGGAGGGAGAAAAATTGCTTCTTGTCCTAACCTCTGAGGATGGGACAAGAAGCAATGGGTTTAAATTGCAGCAAGGGAAGTTTAGGTTGGACATTAGGAAAAAACTTCCTAACTGAATGGTATAGCATTGGAATAAATTGTCTAGGGAGATTATGGAATCTTCACCGTTGTCTAACAAGCTCTTAAAAATATCCAAACACCTGACAGGGATGTCTAGATGGTCTAGATAATATGAAGTCCTGCCATGAGTGCAGGGGACTGGAATGATGATCTCTTGCGGTTCCTTCCAATTCTATGATTTTTATGGTTCCTTTTCAAATGGATTCATCAGTGGCACAGACATACTAGATGTTTGAAATGAATGCAGCAGCATTTTCTTCTGCTGGATTTCATTTCAGAATTGAGTGCCACCATGAAAACAATGTGCAGAACCCTAAACTATATGATTCCATTTTGTTGTTGCTGTGTGTAGTTAATTCCAGCAATTTCAGTCATAAATCATAAACATTTTCTGGTCCAGCAATGATCTCAGGTCCGCTTCCAACCTTGTAATCGAAATTCTGATCTTTAATGGTTGTTTCAGAACAGTCCTTTGTCTGATACAGGAATACTACAAAATCTTACCATCAGGACTTGCTATTTTTAAGTTTATAGGTAGTTCGGACTAGGCTTCCTCGTTCCACGAGGTGTACCGGTAGTTCGGAATAGGAAGCCTAGTCCGAACTACCTAGTTCGAGCCCCGTGTAGCCGCGCTGCACGGGGTTCGAACCAGCGGGGTTTTAAAAATGGCGGCTCCCCGCTTATGCAAATGAAGCCCGGGAAATTCAAATCCCGGGCTTCATTTGCAAGTGCGGTATGCCTACATTACCCTCCTAGTTCGAACTAGGAGGGTAGTGTAGACATACCCATACAGACTAACTCGGCTACCTCAGCTTCTGTAACTCTGGAGTAAGAGATGCAAGAAAGATTGATCTGGTCCAATTATATTTACCATACCTACTTACCTTACAGGTAAAGTTCCACAAATCTATTGATATTCACTTTATATCCGTGGGTATCTACATCCACAGATGTGGATGCGGATATCCATAAATAATTTTTACAGATGCAGATACTAATTTTGTATCCATGCAGGGCTCTGCTTACAAGGTTATCATGAGGCAGGCATTTCTGTAGAAACAGTTGTGGTCCCGAGAGCAGAGGTGCGGTAGAATTGGACAATATTTTGATGAAGAGAATGCATCTAAAATACTCCTGTAAAGACAAAGTATCTTTCTATCCTAACAGATGGAAAATGTACTAACCACAATGGCAAATACTAAAAATCACCACACAAGGGAAATACTGATGCCACAAAGGTTCAGAAATGTGAGTCTTTTCTAATCATCCTTTGTCTTGTCTATCCGAGCTAATGACTCTTGCTAAGCAAAGATTGTATGGATTCCTTGGAAAGTGGAGTTTCTATTAAATGATGAAAATTTACTGCAGCAATATGTTTGATATTTTACATTTTCAAAAGTTGAAGTACACTGAAGTCAGGGGAGATTTGGTAGGTGGTGTT